CCCAACTATATTTTCACCTTAAATCACAAAGACCATTCGCTGGCAGGACTAGGAACTGTTTCAGAAAGCGGAGTAGGAACAGTGCTTCATTACATCCATCAGAACGCCCTTTAAATACAGATCTTTGTCAGTTTACACGCCGGTACCGACGTAACCACGGCCCTCTTAAACTTGCCAACGACCACCCCAAAAAACATAATTTTGCTGTTCTCATAGCAACGTTCCTGCGAAAGATTGCACGTTCGATGTTCAAAGCAGGAACGTTATTGTTTTATATGCTGAGGAGTTGCTGTTCCGTAAAATTTGTTCAGTTATAGGGAACGATGAAGGGTTGGGTGTCACCTTTCGAGTGAGTGGGCAACTTTCCGCATTTTTTGGCCCTGCACTGTCTGTTGAGATCAGAAATAAAGCGGCATTCTTGCAGGAGATAGCAATGGTGATGGAGCTTATGCCTGACAATCCGCCCCACCGGCAACACCGATAAGTCCTGCTTCTTTGCCACCTTTTTGATGGGTCACCCAGAATCACCGGCCTTTCTATCCCTTCCTGGTTTACTTTTGATTGAATCTTCTTCTCTGTCTCTCGTTCAGTAGCCTTCTGTGCGGGTATTATAGAAGTCGCAAGAAATTTCATAATGCCCTTCCGGCTATCGCAAATGATTGCAAGTGATTGCAAATTGCAATGAAGTTGTCTCCGCCATTATAAGATAATATGAGCTTCACTTCAGTAACCATGCAACATACTCGCCCAAGTAATTAACAAAACATACTCGCCCAAGTATTAACAGCGGCTAAAGTGAATAATAAGCGATAAGTTACTTCTACTCTATAATTTTCTGAATTTTGGTCTACATAGTTTTAGTACACCGTGTACGCTACGGCGCTTCAAGAATGATGGGATCAACTGTTCTCAAGTCTGTATGTCACTTAACAACTTTCCCGAAATGAATTCAGTCTCTTTTTTTCCGATGATTTCCTCGTAGAGGATGAAGCATTTTCAAAGTGAAAGAGGTTCATATCGTGACCAATCAGGAAGTATGTGAATATGGAGTTTTCTCGCGATATATACATATCAACTGGGTGCCGATAACATCAAATAATTGATCAATATTCCAGTGGGTATCTAGCAAATTATTTTGCACAGCGGTGGAAATTTCTGCCTTCATCAATCAGTTTGGAAACTTACCACAATGATTGAACTTTTGCGCGTTCCTCTGCCTGCAAACGACGAACGTTCTCTGCTTTTGCTTATTCGTTTTGATTCAGAATTTATTAAGGGTGCACTATATAGCAAGTTGTCTAAAAGATGAGCGATGGAATGGGTGAGAACGTTTATAATATCAATCCTTTATCATATAGTACATACAATAAGGCACACAGGCTTTACGCACATTCATGCATACCCAGTTTTATCCAAGAAGACACTTTCATTCTTTGAGCTACCTGTGAGATCAATTGAACTATTTTTGACAGTTGACTTACAAGAATGGTTAATTTAATGTAACTCTTGATGGATTTGTATAGCAAAGCCATCGCTGTCAAAGGAAACCATTCGAATCAATGATTCTCTTAAGCTCCTGCGTTCATTGCATCATTAGAGACTTGAGATTTTGCTGTAATATCGTGTCCCTTACATCTATAAACACTCGTCGTATATTTTCTGTATCAATGGCAGTTGTATAGTGGTAGAAAAATGGCCGTGCACGATCTTTCCGTGATGTTTCAAACTTGTCGACAAGAAAGAATTGTACATCTCGTACGTTCAGGTGATCTCCTGTGAAGTCGGAAAAATATTGCCGAATATCCGACTTCGGCACTTTCTCTGGAAAAAGTAAAAAATGTTCAAGGTTTTGAAGCCTTTCATTTGACTGTCATAATGACTGTCATTTGCTGCGTGGTTCTCTTTTTTCTGGAGAATTGAGTAAGCTATCTCATTACAGTAGACAGTAGGGGAGTACACTTAATTCTGATTTCTAGATCGATAAAACCTCAGTTCAGGTATTTTCAGAAACTATAAAAAGAGGCTCCGGTGCAACCTGAAAAGGACAGAGTCCGTATGAAGTAAAAAAAGGTAATGACTTTGTCGCATCACGTATTAAAGAGAAGATAGGGCGTTAAGTGAGCTTTAGTGGCTGAAAAAAGTTCCATTGCTCGATTACATCGCACTAATCATCTAAATGGCTCCTAGTGGTTACGGCGAAACGGAAAGAAAGCAAAGATCATAGCGGCATTTACCTTTCAAAAGATCACTCTTATTCATGAAGAGTATAATGGAAACGTTCGAGAAGGCCCTGTTGTTGACGATAGTTTCGAATACTGATCGTGATTCGACAACTCGATTCGTTCGTCGATCTTCGAGAATTACCTTGAATATATGTATATATATACATATATATTCATGTGATTGTCTACAGTTTTTTGATGCCTCTGCTTCAGGAAGGTAGCTATTGTGAAATGGTTGTCCATACGAGAAAAGTACTGGAAAAGACATCCAGTTAAGAAGAGATCACGAGTGTTATTAATGGAATATCATGCTAGTGACCTCCTCACTATCGGAACAAAAAGATCGCGAGATTGAGAAAATCAGGCACCGGAGTAATGCAATCTCTGCCTCACGGAATCGGTTTTTCCAACGATTTCTCAAAGAAAATGTACTTTTTACAATGCAACAGAAGCAGGCAACGGCGTAATTCTTACTTAAATGGGCATTCCGCGAATTGCTAAATAAGTGATGGTTCAAATAAATCGGATAAGACAATCGGACAATCCTAAGAAACCTATGAGACGTTGCCACCCACGATTTCCATAATGATCAGATTATCCTTTCCCTACGAACTCCCACTTTTTACCTTAACAGCGTCTATTAATCAATTCTATTTCTACTCCATGAAGAAAATCACTCTATTAACCAGATCCTGTTAAATTCTTTGAAGTTAGTTCTCATGATTAAGTAAGCATATTGGTGCTATCGAAGTAACAGACTTTCAGGGACAGTTTTCACAAAAATATAATGTTGATATGGGACGGATATGACAATAGATGTGGTAATGAGTACGTGGGATGAGAAGCACTTTCTCGTTTTTCTTCAGCCAATCAGCTTATGTGAATTTGATCTATCACTTTTCTTTTTGATTTTCTGCTACGAGTTTATCGTAGATTTGGGTTTCCATTATTCAAGAAACGTAACGGGAAATCACAACAAATAGTGGGATAAAAATGAATGTTGCTGATGATGATAATTATAATGAGAAGGTTACGGAGAACATGCATTATTCATAGTCCCATTGATAAATATGTACATACATTACACATATCGGCATAAAAATTGTAATTGGTTTTACGCACCTGATCATATTCATTAGAGGCTACCATGAACAGTATACTAGTAATATCAGTGAAACACTGAAACCACTTTTGCCGCTGAGATCGCTGTCCTCCTACATCAATGAACCTAAATGAACGTGTGATCCCGATTCCCAAGTGTTACTTGAAAACAGTAATTATTACAAGAATGAGTATCAAGTTGCTACCACATGGTTTGGTAGGCTGACATCATCGGTACTTGCATCATTATAAAGGACCGAGTGAGGAAAGAATAAGGTTCAGGATGTTGATGCAGGGCAAAGTTCGTCATGGTCCTAGAAAGAACCATCGCCGATACGTTACTTCCCAAAAGAAATGGAAGGTTGCACAAGCAGTATTTTGTTCGGGACTGCAGCGCAGCCTGAGCGATCCAGTTCATTCTGTCAAATATGAGGCACATCTCAAGGGTGGCTATCGCAGCTGGTAGGATGAGAACCCGTCATAAACACCTGCGAGCTCCCGCAATAGACCTGAACGTTGACCTATCTAGGGCAAAGATCGACATTGAACGGGTGTAGTTTCCGATGCTGTTTTTGATCGAAAAAACATGCCAAAAACAACATCGGAAACAATATCCATTTTATGCCGATCCGTATCTTTAGAGGGCTAAGGTCGAGAAATCTGAAAAACAATGTGAATGGAGTGAACAGGGAGGAAGACTGTTTGAGCCTACCACGTTGGCACACACTATCCATGGTAATTAGCAGTTGCAGAAGCCCTCCCATTCCCAATGAGTTCGATTCTGGCGACAGTTCCGTGACGGAATAGATCACATGGCCTCTAGTTAAAGGATTTGCCTGATTGATGACAGGGTTGTTCCGAAGTTCCAAACAGGATCGAACCGTCGTCTCCTTTAAATTCTATCTAATACGACAGCGTGGAATCGTGCGAGCTACCGGTGTGCCAACCAGTACCTGCGAAGCTATGCGGGGAAGCGGTAAAGGGAGATGTGGAAATGAGAAGAGGATTTCTACTCGGATCTCTTAAACAGCCGAGGCTACTTGCCTACTTACCATCTCAGGCAGGAAAAACATGTCGTTGCTTGTTTCTGCCTTCCAAAACTTAACATGCAACCATGTCGATGAAGAATAGCGCGTCCTTTTCAGATAGGATTGAACAGAACATCTGAAGAACTTCTCGCTAATACTCGTCAAGACCATTGCGCAGCACTCCTCGCGTCACTAGCCGGTATGGGAGGCTCCCAATCTACTTCTTCTACAGCAACAAAGTCGTGAAAAATTAGCACTACTGTGTTGCTGTATAAGAAGGGGGATCCAGACGATATCGGTATCGCTCTATCAGCCTATAGTCTGTAATCTGGAAACTTTCACGCGAGTCATTATAAGCAGGATTAGCAAGATACTGGATGAAGGACGGCCCTGCGAGCAAGCAGGATTTCTGAGAGGGTTCAGCACAACTGAGCGCGCACACTGACACAAGACTCAGTGAAGTGTAGCGGGAGTACGGGATGTCATTATCTCTTACACCATCAATTAGAAGAAAGCCTTTGATATCTTCGGGACAAAAGAAGTCACTGAGGCCTTCAGCAACCAGGTTCTTACATAATACGTAAGGATGCTTTATGAACTTTACAACAACTTCCTTCCCAGAATTTCTTTACTTTGTAATGAAGACATTGTAAAGAGAGAGGTTTAGTATTATATCTAGGCCAAGAAGTCAAAATGATGTAGCGCCTAGCTGTGAAACTGAGTAGAATGAAATAAACGGCGTGTGGAGCATTCAATGATACCGAGGGAGTAGTGAAGAAGACAGAAAAAGTGCGGCTCCGTGCTCATATTTTCGGCACGACCTGTTTTGACCTACGCCTCGGGACTTGGACTTTTGGAAGGAGCATCTGCACGCAATCAGCGCCTTTCAATGCGTTTGGGAAGGACGATGTCAGGACTCCCCTGTACATGCCATATTAAAAGAAAATCCGCAGAGCCGAGCTCTGTCAACAAACAAAGAGCAGGAACCTCATTGCCAGGGAATCTAGGATCGGGTAATGCTCGGGAACACGTAATGCGATTTCACTATGTTCATTGGACCAAGGCGGTTTCTAACTCGATCCTTCGAAACAGCAACGAGTACGAAAGCTAGTGCGATGGCTAGGCTTTTCACAAATGCTCTGCCTCCGAGAGAAATGATTCTGTGCCATTTCAGCTCGCGACAGAAATAAACAGAGACATTACTGGCTTTCTCACGAGTAAATTGATGATTAACGGGACGCCATGACACAGGTGACAGCTTTTTAATGCCTAGCTTATCCACTTTCATGAATGATTGCACTTATATCATGGTCTAATTGGGACTTTGCAAAACTAAATGTAGGCGGAACGGACAATATATCCAGTATAACGAAACCTGAATGGAATTTTGTTGATTTCGAAAGTGTGTTCACAGATTCCTCGCGTCGCTTTTCTGCAGTATAATATATCCTTATTCGTCGGTAAGAAGTTTGGCATTGAAATCCGATTAATATGATCGAAAAAGTACTGACAGGAATCACTCTGGAACGATTGATGAAAGTATGATCTATCAATTCATGGAAAAAAATTATGTACAATTTGGAATAAGTTCCGTTTTTCATAAGTTTGTTTGACTGCGGCATCATCCCAGAAGTCTTCGATAATTGAAGAGATATCAACGAAGGTCGTGAAGTCGATTCCTTTGAGAAGATCGGATACGGTAAATCTGAATCAAATGAAACGTATTTTCCAAACGTATTTTAATTACTTAATCACTTGTTTATTTAGAATACACTACAAGAGTGTGCTCCAAAGCAGTCAAGCATAGGTCTGTATAATGTTCCGCGCATAAAATAGCAGATTTATAAGGAATTAAAGTAGAAAAAATAAAGTGCTGGTAATTGTAAAAAGAAATGCAGAGTCACAGGTGCTGTATAAGCAACTATCATACCAGTTATGGTTGCCAACAGTTTCTCAATCTTGTGGAGGTCTTATATTATTTGACTAAAGTATCATCACCCGGTGGGAGTGTACCACCAGCACACAGGAATATTTCAAATAGAAGACGTGATTTGAAATCACGCTAGTAGGAGGGCAATGACCAGCTCTAACACGGAGACACGTCACTGGTCCTAAACTCTGTCCCATCGTGATTCAGACGGGCAGGGAACAGTCTACCAAATGACCAACAGCGTCTGAAATGATTCTATCTAGCAACTTTGCTCTTCTTCAGTACACAAGATGCCTCCTCGTTGTTCACCTTCTCAAGATGCGATTGACTCGAACGTTACCGTGGGAAAAGACGAATCTCAAAAGTGCTCTTTAGTTACACAAGAACACCGATACATGTTCCGTACTACAAAGAAGCCTATGGTCAGAAAGCATGCAGCTTGACGTTGGAAAATGAGATAGGATTTTGAACCCATACCTCATGATTTCAGGAACATTCTTTTCCCTTTCCGGTTTTTCCCATGGTATATTTAACTTGCTTCTTGCATCCAAGAGAACTCTCATAGCAGAGATGACGTTCTGAAATATTTGCATACATATAAGTTCCAACTCACTTACATTCAGCAAAGACTTTGACATAAGTTTGACATTTTCCTTATGGGCTAATCCGCACGATTCCCTATTTGCCCGATGATGATTTCCTTGAAGACACAGTTCGCGATAAAAAGGGTTTCTGAGATTCTCCTGGGGATAAACCCGTGATCCCCAAAAACAGCAATAAGGGACGGTGTCGGATCGGAGAACGGTCTCGACAGGGCCATAAAGGCCACAAAACCGGTTTAGGCGACGTACACACCCAAGGAGGACGAGTTCTCGCGGCATTTCCGGTCCTGTAGAGGCTGTACCATTCGCACTGGGACGCACACATTGCGCGATTGCTTTAGCCAGCTGCGCGCATTGGCCTACGCATTACAACTCGTCAAAATACCCCTTCCATGCGGGTTTTATCGTTACATTCCTGAACCCCTGATTTTACCCTTTTCTAGAGCCTTAACTTTCTCTAAATAGGCTGATTTCGTGTTTTCTCCGCAACTTTTGCACTTTTCTGAACCACTACTTACATTAATTATCTGAAACCAGATGCTCCAAAGTTATATTAAACGGTGGCTTTATCGAGAAATTCACCTTAGTACTGTTGACCTTTCTAAGTTAAAATGCAATCACGAGGATGTCTATTGTTCAGGTAGTCAGTCAGGAAAGTTGACCTTGTTTGAATTCTGAATCGAAGAGCTGGTGCTAGAGACCGACCTGATAAATCTGCTGACGATATGCTCGAACCTCATCTGCAGTAAATTCTCCAGCTCCATGTATGATGTTCATTTGTTTGATGAAAGTGGATTTTCCAGATTCACCGGAACCTAACAGAAGTATTTTCACCTGGAAATGTAAATCAGATTCAGATTCTAAGATTCTGAACATAGTATATTTCGGAGTGATTAGGGAACTGAATTTTCAACTTTGCCAAGAACGGTTCTAAACTGTTCACAAAAAGGTTGACGGGAAATTTAGAAGAATGCTATGCGGGTAAAAGTGAATCAGAATATTGAGTTGAGGATGCTGTGAATTGCTTATGGTCTTCATCATCATTCTCAGCTAAATATCCCACTACATGTGAAGAGTACGGGTGTAGTCGCCTCAAATTTTCGTGATGTCCATGCTATGGTTTTAATTTCAATTAACTTCAGCATTGTAGTCAACGCAGGGTACCATTGTCGTGCACTAGTTTCACGGTCAAATGTACTGACTGAAAGAGCATAGCATCCAGGGGAATCGGGACTGGGCGGGAAAAGGGACTCTGATTTATGAATAGTATTGTATTTCCTGTGGAAGTAGCAAAACCAGTTTACACGTAATCGCTATAAAGGTAGGCCAGGAAAAAAGAAAAAACACCTCATATTGGTGCAAATCACCTGCCGTCGAAGAACTTTTCTTTCATTGTGAAGTTGGCGCTCTATTGCTTTCGTTTGTTCATCTTGCCGTCTTGAACAGCAAAATATCATTCTCAAGATCCTGAAAAAGGAATGCAACTCCAACAACACAAAACTTGTTTTCTTTGCGAAGAATGTGAAAAACTCGACAGACACTAGGCGTTTAACACTGGGGTCTATGGTTAATGCTCAGTGGGGTTGACTGGTAGAATGAGTAGGATGGTACAACCCTTGAGCTTTTCACCATTATCCATTACCCGATGTCAAGCAGACACTTCAAGCAACCAAGGCCGACAGAGCTCTTCTCTTCATAACCACATACCTACTGCAAACAATTAACGAAGTTCTGGTTCATTCAGATAGATGGCAAATTGGTTTGTTGTAATGCTCTGACGTTCTCCCACAAAATGTCATAAAGAAAGTTACGAGAAAAAGTTGACTCAGTAGACCTGTGGGGGGTGGGGGTGTTCCAAAATGGATATAAGAAGGCATTCGACGGTAACAGCGAACCTCTTCGTTGTTTAAAAATCAAGGGAAAGGAACTAGATAAACTTAATTCCTCGAGAGCACACCTCAGTAGTTCGAAAGTGTGTTGAGTTTACAGAGCTTGTTTTTCTAGTATATATTTATATGGTATACATTCTTAACAGTAGGAATGAAGTGAACGCAAATGGTGAATCATTAGATCAGCTCTTCATGACCTAGCAAACTATTCAACAAATATGTACATAGCCAAGTAAGCATTGTACTGAATCAACAAATACTCATACGAAAGCCTAATTATAAGAAGTGAAATCTTTAGGCAGTTCTATTTTCAAAAGTGTGTAGATAAAACATGGAAAACATGTAGACGTTAGTTCAAAAACCAGTTCCCCAGTTAGTTTTATTTCGCTACTCGTCGTTTTTTTTTGTAGGTAAAATGTGGTTGATACCCAGCTCGTGTGTAGGATGCGCGCACTCTCGCTTGCACTCATCTGCGCTCATCATGTCCAGCACGCTTTGATGGTTTGATTAGCATGTCGAAGCCTGTGCATTTCCAAGAGAAAAGAACATTTTCAGAAATCACCCCCATGACTACTTTTGCAGCTCTCATAAAGGAGAAGCACCTCGAATTGGAAGAGACGATATGGTGCTGCTCGTTCATGCAGATTTTTGAGCCCGAAAAACACTTTATAATATTTTTTGACGAGCTCCTCACTGAGGGGCTGAAATAATAGCGACACCTCAACTTCTTGACTTTGTTTCATAAAAACGAATTCTCCGAATTCACCGGAGTCTGAGCATCGTAACAGAGCCGAGGGACAGGAGTATGGGTTAAGCTTACATCTCGTAATATCCTTAGAGGCACTTGTATTTTTTCCAACTGGAAAAAAAAGAAATACTCGATGCCACCAATCTCGGGGCTCATACTAGTCAGGAATTTTACATTACTGTTGCTGTGTGTCCAGCATTTTTTTTGTTGTGCAATGTAACAGAATAGTTTGGAGGTTTATAATAGATTCCCATGTAATCGCAGGTGATTACGGAAAGAATAGGAAGGCGATCTGTAGTTTCAATGCATGGAAGATTGCAGGCGTGTATCAAAGAGTGATTATGCAAGCTAGAAAGATCTAATACGACTGACCGAGTCGAGAAGGCATCATCCGTTGCATGCCATTTTCGAGCCTGGAGAAGTACTGTTCCTTGGGACATACGACAGTAAGGCGTTGGGGTTGAAGGTACCCTCGACATTACGCAGGCCATAAACACCAATTCGGGCAAAAACTTGGCAACCCGAATGGGGCGTTTGCGATTGAGAAAATGTGGTCAACCCCAGCTCTAACAACCTTGTTTGCGCATTAAGCTACAGAGAAAGAGCTGGAAGTATTTTACACGAACCTCAGCCTCAGACGATTCGCGAAGGACTACATTTCAGGACTCACGAAACGGAATGGAATGAGCGCGGTGGAAGATTGCATATGATGAAACCCGAACATCCAAAAGCGTCCACTAGTTATATTCAAAGCCCTGGTAAGGGTCTCCATGCTGTACCTGTCGGAATGCAAATCCTTGCTTGTTTTTCTACTTCGCGAAAGACAAGCGAGACTGTGTTGCTGATCATGGCAGCTATCGCCCATTTTGCCTGCTGTCTTTAACAAATGGATCCTTCACACGAGCCATTCTTGATAGGATTAGCAGAATACCACATGAAGAACGGCTATGCGATCGAGCACGGTTTCGAGAGGAATTATTACAACGTCCATGCTGTCATAAGTCTTATTGAAGCATTGCGAAAATACAGGATGCCATTGTTTCCTAAGTTTATCGATTTAATTAAGGCCTATGATAGATTAGAGACAGAAGCAGTCATCGAAGCCTTCGAGTGACCAGGATATTCCTAATAAATATGTACATTAGGATGCTTCATGAGCTCTGCAACAACTTCATGACCAGCATTTCTTTACTCTGCAATAAAGTCATTGCCATCGTGTAGAGAGGGGTTCTTTCCTATATCTAAGTTGAGAAGTCAAAATGATGAACGATCTAACTGTGAAACTGAGTAGAATGAAACCTGGGGTGTGTGGGGAGCATTCAAGGATACCGAAGGAGTAGTGAAGAAGACAGAAAAAGTGCCGCTCCGTGCTAATATTTTCGGCACGTCCTGGTGACGTACACCTCGGAGACTTGAACTATGTTTACGGAAGGAGCATGGACACGTAGTCAGCGCCATTCAACGCGTTATGGGAAGGACGGTCAGAATTCCCCTATCATGGTAATGCAAAACTGAATCCGTAAATCCAAGCTTCGTCAACGGTTGAGGTTAGCGACTGAGCCCCGTGGACGGCAAGCAAACACACCAGTATAGCTTGCTCTGAACGAAAAAAATACCTCGTCTACCTCGAGCGGGGACGATCCATTGGACTACCCTGGCTCATGGCAGGAAAGAATCGAAACGTTATAGCTCCTGCTCGAGAAAATCGATGATCAACGGGGCGATCAACAGGTGGTACAATTTTGTCTGTCCGTCTAACTAAGGTATTAACACTTCAAATGATGAGATTAATTTCTTTATACTTATCCTACTGGTACAGCGACTTTTCTAGTACAGTACAACCTGATCAGTCAACCGAAATCTTGACTGTCACCATAAGAAAGTGACCGATGGGACGTGGGATTCCGGCGAACAAAACTGAACTCAAATTCCGTCACCCTTAAGTAGAAGAGTCCAGTTATACAAGAGAAGACAATGTGCGTGTGTGTATTTTTTTGTGTGTATGGGTGTGTATGTATGTGTGTCTATATGTGCATGTGTATGTGTATGTACTTTTATATGTATATGCACGTATGTGTACATGTATGTATGGGTGTGTATGTGTACACGTATGTACGGGTATGTATGTGTGTATGTGTATAGGTGTGTATGTATGTGGATGTGACTTTGTGCACATGTGTATGTGTTTGTGTGTATGTTGGTATGTGTCTGTATGCATGTGTGTGTCTGTGTGTATATTTATCTATGTGTGTATGTTTATATGTATTTCTATGCGATTGTATGTGTGTATGAGTGTGTATTTGTATATATTTGTGTATGAGTGCGCGTGTTTGTATGTGTCTGTATTAGAAAAGCTTTTATACCAGTGAGTGGAAGGAAAATAGCGACCTACAAGATATCACCATTTATCCATCTATAAAATAGTCAAAGAATAAATGGGAGATGGTGTAGTGACAAGCGGCGCACTATCACACACGTATGGTCACGGGTCCGTAACCCGGATCGATATCGGCTTAGGCCAACCAAGCCTTCCACCCCCGATCAATCGGTCAATCAATCGGTACCAGACTCGCTTGGGAGGATGAACGCACTGACGTGATTTGGCTGGCTACCGCAGCTATCGAATAACGCGACATTGTAGCTATCCTACTTTATTTAATCCGCAAAATGTAGCTACTGGTGCTTTTTCGTCTGTGTGCCGGAGTGTGTGTATGAATGAAAATCAGAAGTTCTGTCCCCCTCAAACTAGAGCTTTCAAATTTGGAAAGGATGCAGGCGGCACGGTGAGCCACTGATGGTTGCTGACACAAACCCATAAAAAATGATAGGGGATGATAAGGAGCTTCAAAAGGCAAGAGCATCACGTCGAATTTGGATCAGCGATGACGGATGACAGAATGTGATATTAATGCGATGAAAGTTAATAAACAGCCTGAAAAAGCAGAAGCTTTTTAGTCTCATACAAATCTGCGATGTAGCCTTTGCACGCTTCAGTCTGTTTTCAACGATAAGACGCGATTGTAGGGTTGGCCGAGAAAAAATACTCTACAATCAAGTTCTGTTGTTTAACATAATTGAGCAACATAGTCGACCGATTCCTCGAAAGCAGTGATGTTGTCGACTGATGATAGCACCACTATCAGGAGTCGCAATACATGACCCTTCTTATCTTTGTGGATATGGACCATTAATGGAGAAGGGGGGAGGGATCATGAGAGTTGGCGCAAGTGTAGTTGCAACTCGTATTGGAATCAGGAGAAACGTGACTCCTCAATGAATAGCAAATCTTGTCACTAGTGATTGCAATCTTATAAATGAGGCACGTTTTAACCTCTCTGTTTGGTATTGTGTTTCATGAGCTTATCACTACTTATTACGGATGAATCGCTGCTTCAGGAGATCCAACATAGGGAGTCAAGATCACGAGCGCCATCCGAGACTTACAATCATGACCATAAAGGTCATTATGTATTAAATGCTAGTGGCTATCTGTTCGTCTCAAGCCTTACGTTTCGTGCGGAAACTAGTGTACAAGTTTGATTCCTATCATCTCTCATTTAGAAGTTCCATAATTAGTAACGTTGTTAAAGATGTACGTGAAGAAATATGAATGTTCTATGTAAACAAAACATCCTGAACTTTTCACAAAAGAGAAGGACGGCGTAAGCGGGGTTGTCCATCTGGTGTATACATAGATGGTTATAAGAAAGATCATGGCTAAAGATTCGTGATAGTTGTGTTATGAACAGCTGACAG